GTACAACTGATCATAGAACAAACTTATTTGTATGCTTCTCAAAAAAATTCGCATAAATTTATATTCGACGAAGATGATCTAAAAGTCTTTTTAGGCATTTTATTTTACTCTGGTCAATGCCAGGAGAATCTATGTACTGGCAATTGGATGAAGACACGTTATCACCTCTTGTAAGCAATAACATTTCTAAAAACAGATTTTTGGATATAAAACGCCACATTCATTTTACAAACAATAATGAAATTGACAAGTCTGATAAAATGGCAAAAACTCGSCCACTGTCGAATCTATTATGCAAAAAGTTTCAAAGGTGGGGTTTTATGCACGAAAAGCTTTCAATTGACGAGGCAATGGTAAAATATTTTGGCCATCATTCAGCGAAACAATTCATCAAAGGAAACTTACTGTGGTGTTAAAAATGCTGATAGTGATACAAGACATCTTCCCCTTGGATCTCGACCATAAATAACCCAAGCGATCATATTATATATTTTGACAATTTTTTCACAAGTCATCGTATGTTGCGTGAGAAAAACTTCAAAGCCGTAGGAACAGTGAGAGAAAATAGAACTAAAAAATGTCCTTTGAATCCAAAAAAATATTTCCAAAAAGAAGCAAGAGGATATTTCGAGACCAAATACGACCACAATAATAAAATATTGTTTGTMAAGTGGAATGACAATAATGTCGTAACTATGGGAACTAATTTTGATACGGTTGCATCGCTGAAATACGTAAAGCGTTGGTCAAAACTAGAACAAAAAAGATAAGTATACCTTAGCCGAATTTACTTTCAAATTACAACCACGGTATGGGCGGTGTTGATCTACATGATCAGGCCGTAAATGTATACAAAATTGAGATTCGAGGCCAAAAAATGGTGGTGGCCGCTGTTTACTTCGATGATGTGCTCCACAATGGTAAACGCTTGGAAGCTGTACAAAGACGTGAATTATAGTACCAAAGATTTGCTTGAATTTCAACGTGACATAACGCGATACTACCTACGACACTGAAAAGATATTCTCAGCGCGCGTTAGCTCCAAGTGTTTCTACAACTGGAGCAGCACATTTTCCAATGAGAATCCTCAAGCCTCTTAGATGCAGAGTCTGCCATAAACGAATCAGGTGGATTTGCATAGCTCGCAAACTACTGCTTTGTGTGTGGAACGCGGTTATTTTAAAATAGCCCACTCATAAATATTTTATATACTTTTGACCATTGTACTCGTGTGGGTGCAGCAAAATTTTCGTATATGTAAGAAAAAAAAATTTTTTTTGTGTTCATCTCTGCGATGGTATAAATCAATAAAAAACTGAAAATTTTAAATAAACTTATTTTTTGACTCCTTGGTTGTAAATGGGTTAAAGTCAATGGTCCCGTTATGTGCACCGTAATTGTATCTTGTCATTTATATGTGATCCAAAAAAGTTGTGCAGCCAAATACATTTTCATATTATTTTGTGGTCCACTGTAGTATATATGTATAAGTGGTGTTGCCGTTGACTTATGTTTTTTTATATATATTTGCATTTAGAGTTCAAAAATTCAACTATTTAAAGTGTGTGTTTGTTCGACATGGACAAAATAATGGGTGTAAGAATTTTTCTTAATAGCTTTGAAGTATTTGCAATTAAAACAATTTTGTTGTAGTTATATTCATGCATCACTTCGAATATTAGAACTGAAAATTTTCAAAATAAAAACAAAAAATCAAGTTATCCTTTATTAGATTCACGGGTTTTTAATAATCTTCATATCATCCATCGGTTTTCATATGTTTTCAAATTCTATTCGCCATGGATCATCCCAAAGGTCATTTGCGCTAATCTCCACTTAAGATCAGGCACTTCATAAGTTTTCAAGCGGGTTGAGATTAGAGGATTGACTAGGTTATTGCATACAGATCACATTTGCATCCTTAAGCCACTCATATACAAATCTCGATGTATTTTGTTGAAAAACTATCTCAGCGGCATGTTTGCTTCAGCATATGGTAGCATAAAATTTTGGAAAATGTAAATAAAGATTCAACGCCTTGCAAAGAGAAACATGCCCATACCATTAAGTTTCCGCCCCCGTGTTTAATTGTATACACCACATATATCTACAATAAAATTCTTTATATTTAGGCCGGCGGACTGTTTCTTTTACAAACATTTTCGCAAAGATTAATTTTAATTTTACTACGGAATAAAATATTTTGCCGATTTTTTTCTCGCGTGGACTTCACAAATTTTTATGTTCAGCGTCAAAACTTTTTCCTTCTATATGTGAACTACGTGGGCTTTACGTAATTATCTACGACTGTTATATGTAAGGATGGAGTGTTGTGTAGCAGTTCACGCAAGTTATCCTTTTACATATGGTTAAAGCAGATCACGACTTCTGGTCTTAGACCAGGTATCGAGCATTCCCTCCCCAAAGTAGTGCGCTGAGTTTGTGATCCGCCCCGTAAAAAAGGTCCACAATGAAAAGGAAACACCAGCCTCGTATAAGAGACAACCCTTTGATGACGACCATGACATGTACATGTAATATCCCCTAATTGGAAAGGTGCCGCTGTCCAGCCGGTTTGATGTCCTCGTAAAAGTAAAGGTTCACAACACCGTAGTCCAAGAAATGTCATGGGCGGGACTAGGACTTCGCTGGGGACCGAAATATGGTTATCTGTAGTACTTTATTCCAGCATTGGAAAATTTATCAAGCTACCTGGATGTCTTCGAATAAAAAAAAACAGACTGCCTACATCGGGCACGATTCCGATTACTTTGCGGAGGGGTAAAAAAACAATATAAAAAAAACTAATATTTTTTAAAATATTTACGTTTAAAAATTAAAAAAATTGCACTAAGAACACATGTTATTTCTCTATGTTTCACTAAATTTTTTCACGTTTTTTTATATGTATATTTAAATATACCCTCTAAGCATTGAAATAAGCTCACATTTCACAATTATTTTGTAACTTTTCAGCTAAATTTAGTAATTTAAAAATCACTTATCAAATTTATGGCTGAAAAGTTTAGAGTGTTTATATTTACTTAAAAACCAAAAGTGAAGGATTTTTCAGCGTTTTACAATAATAACCCTGGCCGAGCGAATACCCGGGGTGACTGAAGTATTTTCGCGTAGTACTCCTTTTTGCGTTAAAAATAAAAAAATAAATTGAGTTTTTGTTATAAAGTGGTTATATTTCTTGGTTATCACGCACTCATATTGAAACCAAATTTGAATTTTCGTTATAAAATTGGTTAATTTTAGTTATTATATCTGTCAGCGATTACCATTTATTTTTGATTATACATTGTTTTGTATTTTAAGTTTTATATTTAAAATTTGAGTTTTGGATATAAAGTGGTTATATTTTTTAGTTATCACACACTCATATTGAAACAAAATTTGAATTTTCGTACTGTACTTGT